AGTTTTCTTGGCAAGATTTTGGAAGTGGTTTGCCATTGCCTGCTTCCTAGGGCTGAGAGTGCGATGGGCCCAAAGTCACCCAGCTGGAGCCCACCACCTCTGGAGGAACGCTTTTCCATTGTTGAATAGATCTTGCCATTAGAAATGTGTTTCTGATGCCCAGCCCAAATCCATATCCTGGTAATTTTAAGACCGCTGTTTTTTGGCCTGTCTCTTGAAACCACTTTGAACAAGCCTTCTCTGTCTTTTGATAGCCCCTTCAGTACTTGAAGTGTGTTTCCACAGTTTTCTCCACAGCCTGGCTTCTGGGAGTTGAAGTCCACCCATTTTAAAGTTGCTGAGGTTTGAGAAACCCTGCTCTAACCATTTGCAAGTTTTTCCTTCCAGGCCCCTTATCCCCTTGGTTGCTGTTCTCCACTTTATCAGCGTGTCTTCTAAAATATGGAGGCCAGAACTGAATACATTATCCCAGGACTGGTCTGACCAAGGCAGAAGAACAATGACTTTTCTTGATCCTCACATGATGCTTTTATTGATGCAGCTGAAGGTTGGCTTGTTTTTTTCGCAGCTGCATCCTTCTGCTGGCTGATGTTCAGTTTGTGATACCCCAAGACCCCTAGACCTTTTTTACAAGTATGGCTGCCCCATCATCTTATGCCTTTGATTTTTCCAACTCATATGTAAGGCTGCCTTTTTAAAAATACTCTGTTTTAAAATTTTAACAGATTTTGCGTTTGACCCTGTTGTTTCAGCTTATCAAGATCCTCTTGATACCTTTGTATCATCTGCAAATTTGATTATTGTATTATCTAACCCCTCATTTAAGTCATTTAGAAATAAAAGACCTAGCCATTGTCATTGGTTAACCATGGTTTAAGGTGTTATACAAACACCACCCTGTTGTCTATCAAACTTATGAGATGAGACAACCCTCTACCACCCATTTTCCTGACTGAGGAAAAGTACTGTAGTAGTTCTGCCTCTTAAAATTAATGGATTTTGTAGATTTTATTAGGCCTGTCCGCTTTTACAGCAGTCTTGACACCAATCTTTGTCAACCAACAAGCGCTGGGTAGGGAGGATTTTAGTCACATCACATCTGGAGGACACCAAGCTAAGGAAAAAAGCCTTGTCTCTTGTAGATTCAGGCTATGGTCCTCCATTATCTTCTGAAGCAGCAGCCAGAGAAACAGAAATCAGTAAGAAAACTTATAACCGGTCATGATTTGTAGAATGTAGTTCTGTTTGTGGATCCAGAACCAGCAATACATAAGTCCAGTGAAGATTTACATATGTGAGTGTGCTAAAGAGTAGATCTTGGTTGTGTTTATGACATGCTCATTGCAAAGCTCAGCTAACAAGCTCTTGTACGGAGGCCTGTAAGCACACCCCATCCTACAATGTAAGCAGCACTTTATTTGAAGTTTGTGGCTTACCGGAACAGCTGCCATCTTGGATGTCCAGACTTTATAAACTGCAGCAGACCGCAGTGTTGCCAAAATGAAAATTCTTACACAGTTATGCAGCTCCATACATGCAAAGCACAATCAAAGAAGCAAGATTCACTTGATTTTCTTTAATGAGTTTCGATGCCAAGAATTAGGGTTTCAAATACAAAATCTTGGAAACAGGTAGGAACACTCCACCCCTCCTTTATTAATGAGTTAATTTAGGATTTCCTGGAAGCTTCTGAATTCTTTCCCAGAACATTTGCATGACGGACTAAGAGTCTGTTCATTTACTAAGCCTTTAAGAGGATCTGTGTTTAGAGATCCTCCTCTGTTTTTTCCAATCTGCGTCCAATCTCGCATGACAATGATGTCATCAAACAAGTGCCACCATCACCTACTTGCACACTACATTGAACACAAGGGTGTAATTTGTGGGATTTCATCATTTGTGCGCCCCCCCCCATTTGCAGACCCGAATCGTACCATGAGATTAGATGCACCATATCGGTGCTTGTTAACCATTTTAACATGAACCTGCTGTATGAAGACAGCCAGGGAGGATGTAAGAAGGTTGTAATAAAGAATAAAAAACAAAACCTATCTGGTGCATGCTCTGTTCTTACAGTCATGGAGACACGTACAAGGCTATGATAGGATGTCGTGAGCAGCAACTAATAGAGGGAAACACCCAGCTCCTGATCATGGGTGCCCCTGCATCATTGCAGTGAGTTGTGGAGTCTTAGCCTTCATGAATGGCTCTTTTCAGGCTGTCTTGAATTGACAGCCGTTGCAATGTTGAATGGTTGGACCATGCCCCCTGTCAAGGAGGACTTTCTTTTCTCTGTCTTGAAGCTTCCACTATTCAGATTCAAGGAAAGATCACAAGATCTAGTATTAGGGGAGAGAGAGAGAATGAGATTGAGTTCAAGCTTCACAGTAAGCTATGGATTCCTAACCATGGTTTATGGAATATATTCCAACTGGCACCATGCACTGTGCCAAGGATGCAAAACCTTATTGACTGGGGAGCCACATCAGGCTTTGTACGGCATGTGCAGGACCATTCTCCCAACTTGGGTAGGATCGGGCATTGATTCGGAGGAATGCTCAGGATTTTTAAAGGCTCAGAGGCCGTTTTAGCCCCTTAAAGAGGCCCAATCCCACAAACGGTGGTGGTTGCAGAAGGCCCCTGGCAAGCTATAGAGAGGGGAGGAAGTGACAACATCTGCAACATGATGCAAACTCTGCCTCTGTTCTACTTGCATTGTGACATTGCAACCATGGATGCGAGGGGCAGAGCTTGGATTATGATGTCACAGTCCATGTTTCCTTCTTTAACAAAATTGTGGCCTGCTGCAGATGCCCTGTGATAAGCTGCACTTTTCTACTCCTGCCTAAGCCGCCTACAGGAGCTGGGTGCTTGCTTTGCTCTAAATTATAGTTTAATTTTGTCTTAGGATGCAAATCCAACTATTCATTTCTGGTGTTTCTTTTTCCTCCCCCCCACATCATGTATGATTTGATACACCCCTGTAATTTCATCTTCATTCTGCCCACCTTGAAGGCCCTCTAGATATTCAATCTTAGACAACTAAAAAAAGCATTTAAGAGAGAAAGATTCCAATTATACACCTAAGATTCCCAATCTCTTCATAAAATGTCTGTGTTCATGCAATACAGGTAGTTCTCAACTTACGACCACAAGTGGGACCGGAACTTCTGTTGCTAATCAATGTGGTCATTAAGTTAGTCACACTGATTTTATTATCTTTTTTGCCACAGTCGTTAAGCGAATCACATTGTTAATCAAATCCAGCTTCCCCCATTGACTTTGCTAGTCAGAAGCCCTTTGGGAAGGTAGCAAATGGCAATCACGTGATCCTGAGATGTTGCAGCCATGATAAATACGTGCTGGTTGCCAAGCACCCGAATTTTTAACATGTGACTGTGGGGATGCTACAATGGTCATAAGTGTGAGGACCCATTGTAAGTCACTTTTTCAGTGCCGTCGTAACTTCAAACGATCATTAAATGAATGGTTGTAAGTCAAGGACTACCTGTATGCTGAAATTGGCTTGTTTTAACCTAATATGTTGTTCCTTTGTTCATTTGTGGTTCAGTGGCTTGAGTGAGCTTAGAAGACTGTGAGTTATCTTGATCAGATTAACCATAGTCCCATCTCCCCTATAGCAACAGAGAAAAGGAACTGCTTTTGGTAAATGAGGCAGGTTGGTATTGTTGTAGGGACTGAATTGATAGGACAGTGAATGGGATCTGGTAATTGACAATAAACTACCTGTCATTGGCTGGAGGGAAGAAGGCTTGAATCTGATGTGCTTCATTCAGGTGCTGGAAATGGGTCAGAAGAGTTCTAACACATTAGCTCAGGTTAGAGAGAAATTTGGGGAGCAAAGAAACCAAAACTCATTTATTTATTTTATGTATTTATATTTCAAATTTGTCACCACCCATCTCACTGTGGGGTGACTTGTTATTGTTGAGGAAGGAGGAGTTGCATCTGAGGGCTTGTTTTAGTCTAGCATAGATGAGAAAGTTGGTATATTCAGGTGCTGGGTTTGCACTGCATGCTTACCCACAATTTAACCATGGTTTTTAAAATGGGCCACAGTTTGGGGCTTTGCACAGTCTTTTAAGCTAGGAACAGGGGTGCTATGTCCCATAACATGCTAAGCCATGACCAAACCAAGGACATAGTAGCTTTGTGGCTTATGCTGTTAATATATTAGGAAACGTTGAATGGGAGTTGGTTGTTTACTGGGGGATGATTAAATAGCTGAGACTCAAGTCTAATTAAGTGAATTAATATATCACGGTTCTTTCCCCCAGTAGCAGATTGTACATTTGTGACTGGGAGCAAAATAAATACAGTGGGGCAAAAAAGTATTTAGTCAGCCACCAATTGTGCAAGTTCTCCCA